GGGAGGGAGGGAGGGAGGGAGGGAGGGAAGAAGGAAGGAAGGAAGGAAGGAAGGAAGGAAGGAAGGAAGGAAGGAAGGAAGGAAGGAAAGGGAAAAGACATCAGCTCTTTTTTCTTGTTATTTATGTCACTGCCAACTCCATCCCTTCTGGGAGGACATTGAGACTAATGCTTGTAGAAGGTTTAGGCTCAGAGAGGTTAAATGACCTGAGCAAGGACACACAGCAAGCCATTAAACTCTCCTCTACTAACACTTAGGCTGTGATCCTTCCTCAAGGTAGTACTGTCTTAGAAGTCACTTGGGCATAGGGAACTGGACAGCTTCAGTTCAGAAGACGGCTTTCCTGTCTCGGGTCTTAAGTAAACAGAATCTTTCTCTCTGTGTGTCTCTTTATGTCTCTGTGTCTCTGTCTCTCTCACACACACATACACTCATAAACACCCATAAATGCGGAAGGAAGAGATTTGAGAGCGTGGGATCTACTGACATGTAGTGGTGAGCTAGAACAGGGGTTCTCAACCTTCCTAATGCTGTGACCCTTTAACACTGTTCCTTGTGTTGGGGTGACCCCCCCCAGCCATAAAGTTACTTTTGTTGCCATTTTATAACTGTATAATTTTGCTACTGTCATCAATCATAATGTAAATATCTGCTATACAGGATGGTCTTAGGTGGGCCCCATGATGCCTACAGGTGTCACAACTCACAGGTTGACAAGCACAAAGCTAAAGCCTTCTGTGCTCCTTCCAATGTCTTCATGCATACTCCTCGTCGTCCCCAAATGACATTCAGCACCTGCCACTGAAAAGGTGACATGGTGGCTCCCTGACCATATAGCTTTTGCTACTACACAGAGTCCCAGACTCCAGTCAGGCAAGTGATTTGAGGGGCCCAGCCAGAAGACACAGGGCAGGAAGTACAGCAGGAAAAAGCGACAGGAAGGAACTTGGTTTTGGGGTGCTAAGCAGCAAATTCATTCAAGCAGGAACTTGGGGCAACTGGCTATCTGATGCCTAAGCTTTGGGACATATGGCTCCCATTGATGGGGGTCTGAGCCCCTCCTATCTGTGAGCACTGCATATAACCAAATCAGGAGAGCTACCTTTGGCTCACACAGACAACAGTGACTTCAAAGCCTTAGTCCTGGCCTCCACCAGGGGTGTGTTTCCACTGTACAGAGGAATGAGAGAGGCTCTGACACACAGTTTCTGGATAGCAGAGGAAGGCTATAGGCTAACATGTGTGTGACTCAGGTCTTGAGCTCTGACCAAGGGAGCTGGTGCCTTACAATGTTTGAAACTGGGGATATAGCATGTTCACTTCTACTCACTGGGATCTCTCCCAGTACCAATCCCCAACTCCCTCCTTGCTCACTCTAGGGCTCTGAGCCACCCACCACCACTGGGATGGCCTAATCATAACCCAAGGTTAGGTAGAGGTAGGAAGTGTGAGCTATTAAGGGAGAGGGTCTCCAGCTCATCCGATCTGTTACGGCAGTGGGGAGAAAACCAGAGACACTTTGAAAGAGGCAGGCCACCAGAACCTTGATCTGCCCACCAATCTGACACATTTGGTTGTAAAATGGGGTCACAAGTCACTACAAAGGTCAGCCAAATATCTCTGACATTTAGCTAAACGTTTTGAGTTTCTTTCTTTTTCTTTTTTTCTTTTGAGACGTTTTCAGGAAGCCCAGGGTTATCTCAAACTCTCCATATACTCAAGGATGGTCTTAAATTGATAATCCTGCCTGTACCACCTTGAATGCTGTGATTAAATTGTAAGCAAGAGAAACAAGAACTGTCACACATATACCAGGCATGGTGGCAAACATCTCCCTTCTTCCCTACAAAGTCACCCTAGGTGACTTTCCTTACAAAGCTACCCTGACTAGCAAGGGACAAAAAGTGTCAATGTGTTGCCCAGCCCTGGAGACTGACAAATGCTTCAGGAAGCCACCACTGGGCCAGGCCATTTTTCAACCCCAAAATGTCAGAGAGGCCCTCAGGATGTAGCCCAGCTGGTAAAATGCTGCCTGGCATGCAGGGACACATGTCCAGACCTACATAAGTCAGGTGCTGATAGCACACAGTTGTAATCCCAGTACTGGAGATGTGCAAAGATCTGAACTTCAAGGTCATCCTAAACAAAATAGTGATCTGAAGGCCAGCCTGGGCTACAGGAGACAACCATCTTAAAAAGAAAAAAAAATCCAAGCAAATTCTCTATTTCAATGAATGGGGATGGGGGTGGGGAGTAAACAAAAACTAATGTAACCCATGTAACAAGGGTAGTTCTGAGAAAAACCCAAGTCTGTGAAGTATGTGACCTTCTGGCCATGTGGCTTCTGGGGTTCTGGAGGTAGTTTCTTAGAGCTGGCTGGTGGGCAGTGTGTGAAGCGTGTATAGATGAACGCCAAGAGAGTTGATAGATGGATGCCACTATATCAGGGTATCGAACCACTGCCATCTGAAGGTCCCAATACCAAGCCACATCCTCAGTCACAATACAGATGCCCCAGAAGGATGTCAGTCAGCAAACAAAAGACAGAGATAGGAAGAAAGAAAGAAAGAGCTCTCAGGCTCAGCAGTACTGCAGGTATCTGATCCACTTCAGGGCCAGCCTGGGATGCTACAGATTCGGGCTCGAGCAGCAAGCAGCAGTCCCCAGCCCTGAGAGTCCCAGGGATAGAAAGGCCACACACATCAGGTTAAGTAAGATCGGAACAAGTGCCCCCCCACCCTGCTTCACATGTATTTATTTGCCAAATAAATGAAAGACTGAATAGGTGAAGGGTAGACAGAGTTTCCTGCCCCTGGAACCTACTCAGATGACCTTAGGACTCTCTCTGCTGCCCAGCCCCACTACACACAGTATCTCTGAGTCCCATAATAGGGGTAGCAGTGGGGATACAGGTAAGGGAAGGTCTGAAGAAAGAATGTTGGGAGTCAGGCCAGAAACTTGCCTTCAGATCTCTCCCCATCGCCTCCCAGTTCTGTGGTCCTGGCAAATGTCACAGCTTGTCACTCATTCCTACACCTTTCGGTGGCCAGACTAGCTAAGAGTCCATGACAATAGTAGCAGAAGGTCTAAGCTGACCTGGGACTGGTCAGGTAGAGAAGGAAGTGAGAAGGAAACATCTTCAGTCACACAATCATTCCACCTGGATCCCACAGAGCCTTGTGTGTCCCCTTCCGGAACAGAAGCTCCTATGCTCTGGCCCCAGGGACAGACCCCAGTTCAGTGCCCAAAGATCTATCCTTCTTTGGAGTTCAGAGCACAATTTCCAGCCAGGCTGGTGACCACAACCATGAACATTCAGAACTGCGACTGTCCTGATCCAGAGTCCATCCTTGACACCTCCCTGAGGACCTACATCCACCGAGGATGAGTCCATTCCTTTGCAGCCTGAGAAGAGCAAATGGTCTGGGGCCATTGAATCACCTCTGGACACTACAAAAGCCACCTTCCACTCTGCTCCCCTGTAGTCAGGTAAGCACACCCTCCCTGTCCATCAGGGTGGGCTCAGGAGGCAGAAAGCATACACGGAGCAGAGCAAAGGCCTATCAGTGCAGCAAGCTCCCTTCAGAAAAGGTAATTTTTCTGGGCCTCACTTTTCTGTACCTATAATCTGCTTTCTTTTACCCTGTCTTACAATCAATGAAGACAGGAAGGAGGAAAAAAAAAAGACCACTCTGTAGAAGTGACCCTGTTCTTGTGTGAATAATATGAATACCGGATACTGGGATCTTTGATCTTTCCATTTTCCTGAGGTTCCTTGGGTAGCTGCCCTCTCAGCCAGTACACAGAGAATATTCTGAAATGGCCCCCCAACACAGCAGGCGGATCCATGGAAGCAATCTGGGTAAGTGACAGAGAAGTGACTCACTCCCCGAAGGTCTCTTATATTAGGCGCCTACTTAGACGCCTGGCCCCGTGGACATCTAGCAATCCCAGTGTTGCTGAGAAAGAGACAAATCATGGCGCAGAGACGGAAGTCTTCAGAAGACGCAACCCGCTCAAGCATTGGGGCAGTGGTCCCTGTCCTTCCCACCTCCAGACCGCGGGACAGAAGGGACTTCGCAAGGCTGAACAGTGTTCGTGAGCCTGGCTGAGTATTATTCGAGCCCTGACCAAGCTCCCGGAGAGAGCCACAAGGTGTTTCTGGAACATGAGGCTGTCGGGAACCGAGTACCACCCCAGGCTCCCAACGTGCCAGGTTTCAGGTCCCTAGTGGGTCCCCAGAAGCGCGTGGCGCGTGTCTGCTGGCGATGGGATGGCCTCTCGTGCTGTCCCGTAATTGTGCAGAAGCTGGGATGGGCACTTTGTGATGCGCAGCTGTCCCCCATGACCCCGAGAGTCACCCACCTGGGCGGGCACCGTGTGTCCGGCGGCCCACAGCTGCAGTTCGACGACCAGCGCGACCCAGAGGGCGGCGGGCGCCATAGGGGCGGCGGTGGCTCCCGCCCTTGCGCCTGGAGCTCTAGTGTCTCAGCTGCGCTCTAGCTGGTGACTGAAAGCGAAACCCCCAGGCCAGGAGCTAGGACAGACCAGGGGGTGGGGGAGGGCGGGAATGGGCGGGACTACGCCCTGAGGACACGCCCCCCCCTTTAAACAGAGCTCTCTGCTCTCGCTGGACATCTCCACCTGGATTCCCTGGCAGCTCTGGGCATCTCTTTCTGGAGTAACTGAGTCTCTTTCCATCACTCCTTCCCCTTCGAGATACCCTTCCAGTGGTGGGGATGGGACTGGAGCTGAAGATAGGTGCCCACTATATTCGTGACTGGGTGCCCTGATTGGGTCTCCCCTCAGCTGATCTCTTTCTATCAATCCTTCTCAGATCTCATGGACTCCCTACTCTCCGTGATAGGACACGGGGGAAAGCAACCCCAAAGTTGACACGGCTCAGGAGAACGAACGCCTTCTAGATTGAACAGGCACACAGTATAAGCAGCCTTGCATAGGTATAGCTCTTTTTAATACGTTTCATTTGTTCCTTAAACATACTTGGATCCTTGGGTAAGAGCAGTTCTCTCCTTCTGAGTTCCCTTGGCTGATAGGTTAACAGAAATCGAGGGAGAAAGCCATCCAGAAGTCTTGCTTCCTAGAATTGACCTTATCAGCGAGCTCGCTGTAGCTGTCATCTGAATGGCAGTACCAAGGACAGTGTGTATCCCTACAGCACTGCCTATGGAGACAGGCAACTATTCTGCCTCTCTTCCTGCACACACACACGCTCTCTCACTGTAGGCTGATAGAGATACCGAGAGACCTGCAGCCACTGGCCCTTGCGAGGGCCACCTCAAGGACGGTACTTTTAGGTGCTGGGGAAGAAACTGGGAAGTGACCCTTGGGAGGATGGAAAATCCCACCTGCTGGTCAGGAGCCTGGGAAATCACCTGGTTCCCACATGTTTCTGAGACATAGGACACAGCCCATGACATTAACCCTGAAGAGAGGCAGCCACTGAGCAGGCAGGGAGAGAGTTCTGGTCTCTAAGCCTCCTGTGGAAGAACACAAGGGTGGGGTGCTCTGGTCCATCTGAGAAAGCTGAAAGCCAGGAATGAAGTGTCACCTGTCAGAAGCAAGAGTCAGTGGTCTGCCATGGATCCTGCCCAGTGGGTCCAATTCACTCATCCTCTCCAGCCAGGGAACAATGTCACCAGGGACCACACATGGGAGACCATAGGCTAGCTCCTATCTTAGTCTGTATTCTGTGGCTCAGCATCACACACCTCATACATTATAAAGAGAAGGGGATGACTTAGTCTCATGATTCTCATCCAAGGTCAAGGGGCCACAATTGACAATAGCCTTGCTGGCAAAAGGAGTAAATATGAATGGTGTGTGTGTGTGTTTCTCTTTTTCTTCAATACCAATACCAATCACAGTGGCTCTACCTTGGTGATTTTTTTTAAAGATTTATTTATCTATTATATATGAATACACTGTAGCTGTCTACACACACCAGAAGAGATCTCATTACAGATGGTTGTGAGCTACCATGTGGTTGCTAGAATTTGAACTCAGGACCTCTGGAAGTTCAGTCAGTGCTCTTAACCACTGAGCCATCTCTCCAGCCCGGTGATTTTTTTAAATACTAGTTACGACTTTATATAGCATCAGCTGTTATTCTGTGAAAATAGTACAGCCTGAGGCCCCCCCCCCCCCCCCCCCCCGCCAATCCCTGACAGCTAACTTAGCGCTTGTGCAGGTGCCTTGCAAATCTTCACCAGGGATCACTTGCTGTTCACACTAATAACGCTTAGTAATTGTGAAACCAGCAGTTACTGGAAGGCTACTCAGGGTTAGTGACATATCTCTGCTAGTACACATGGTCTTGAAGGGGGAGATGAAGTTTTGCAGGGCCTTTCACAGCTAGGAGGGAGTACCATGGATTCCAACCCAGTTTATTTGCCTTAGAAACCAAGGAGCTCCTACACAGCCCAGTCACTCTCTTGCATTATACAGTCCTCTAGGATACAGGCACACCATCCTATCCTGGCTATTCCCTTGGTGCCTAGGAAACACACAATAGGAACAGCTTGACAAAGTGGAAGTGAGTGAGGACTTCTGCTAAGTATACACAAGAGACAATAAAGCGATGAATGCTAAGCAGACATGGTGGTGCATGCCTTTCATTCCAGCACTAAGGAGGAAGAGCTCAGTGAGTTCAAGGCCAGGCTGATGTATATAGTAAATATCAGGACAGCCAGGGCTATATAGAGAAACCTTGTCTCAAAACACCAAGTGGGGGGCATGAATGAATGAGTATATAACAGGGTTGGAATCCAGTCTAGTCCAGTCACTCCTTGGCTCTACCAACCCCACCATGCATCTTTTAGCCCATCAGCCCTATAGTACAGAAAAGGTCCCATTGTTCTTATATCAGTCAGCAGAGATAGGATGGTAGCTTGCTTAGGGGCCACAGAACGAGCATCTGAATCTGGTACCTCCCTACTTCCCAGGACAGCCGCAAACCTGTTACCTCACACCCCAACAAGCTGACATCTCTGCTTCTGCAAACAGAAGACTCACCTTTGAAAGGCAAAGCAAGCAGGGATGTCCAGGCTGTTAACTGAGCACCTACTGTATGCAGGTGGTCCAGCAAGCCTCTGGGAGGAAGGACTTCAGTTTCAGCCAACACAGGTTTCAGTCTCTGACATGGCCGCCTGTATGCACCCAGAGAGAATGTCCCAGAAACTGTATCTCCAAAGACCCAGTGCCTGCATCCCATGACTTTTTTTTCCTGCTTGTTCATGTGGTGTGCTTGTGTTGGCCTACCCACTTTCTCATAAGGTTCTAATGACAAACCAAAGCATGGTTCTAACCAAGTTCACTCTGGAGAACCAATGAATTTGTTGGACTTTCCTACAGAGAGCATGGTGACCCCCAAGCAGTCACACTGGAAAGTCTTCATGTAGCAAAGTTAGTGGCTTCTGCACAGCTGCATAGAGTTCCTCTTATAGTCTTCCATAGCCAAGTACTTTAGTACTTTCAGGGACACACCAAGGCTCCCGGGAGCAATTTGGATGGAGGAGTGGCTGGAAAGTCAGGTGAGGATCCAATAGCCCTCCCATACCCGCTCCTTCTCAAGGGAAACGTAACTGTCCGTCCACCCTGCTAAGATGGACTCTTTCTGGCACAGCTGTATTGTTTTCTAGGAAGAAAGCCTTCTGCAACAGTGGTGTGTGTGTGTGTGTGTGTGTGTGTGTGTGTGTCTGTGTCTCTGTGTGTGTGTCTGTGTGTGTGTGTGGTGTTCATGTGCACACTCAGAGGCACATACATGTTCATTGAGACCAGAAATTAATGTCAAATGTCTTCCTCAATTCTCAATATTTTGAGAATATTGAGCACAGAGCTCATCCATTTGGGCTGGTCTAGCTAGCATGCTGCACAGATCCCATCTCTATCTCCCAAGTCTAAGATTACAGGAGGACCACAATATCCACTGTGTTTCTGTAGGCTGGGGATGCTGACATGGGTCTCACATTTGCCTAGTTGCATGCTTTCATGGCAAGCATTCATTGTACCATCTTACCAGACCCTTGATGACCTGACTTTAAAAAAAAATTTACTTATTTATTTTAGATATATGAGTACACTGTAGCTGTCTTCAGACACACCAGAAGAGGGCATCAGATCCCATTACAGATGGTTGTGAGCCACCATGTGGTTTCTGGGAATTGAACTCAGGACCTCTGCAAGAGCAGTTAGTGTTCTTAACCACTGAGCCATCTCTTTATCCCCTGACTTTTTTTTTTTTTTTTAATGAGACTGAAGAACCATCCGACTGAAGAAACCATCAGAGGGTTGAGATGCAGCAGGCAGTGGCTTGAGGCTGGGGGAGGCAGCTTCTACTAAGAGAGAGAATCTCTAATATTGTTTTCTAAATGAACTAGAAACAGCCACAAAGCATGCGCTTTCCAGCATTGCCTCTAGGGGCCCAGTCTTATATGGCTGCTTCTAGGCAATGAGATCCCTGTCCGTCCCTCTCAGTGGTCCCAGCCAGGACCGTCATTGCCTGACTCTTGCATGTGCTTATCTTTACACCTTGAGTGTGCTGGGCCAGCCCCTTGGTGAGTCACAGACTAAAATCACGAGCAGGAAGCTGTGTTAGCCACAGACTTACGACTGTCTCCCCTGGCTGTCTTCCCACCTGAACCCCCAGACACATACATGCACATGCACACGTACGCACACACACACACATATCTTGGACTACGCTGGTCATGTTGGGAGGTTAGGTGTTGACCCCCAAAACTCTATCTCGATCTTCATCTCCTAATGAAGCAGGGGAGAGCTTAGGGGCACAGATCTTCCCACGTCTGGGCCTCAAAGAGGACCCACTCAATTGGGGAAGGTTGCTAGGAGGCATTCAAAATCTCTATTCTGAGTTGTCTTTTCCCAGACTCTTAAAAAAAAAACAAACAAACAGCTGTTTGGCCAGTATTTAGTACTAAATCATTATCTAAGAGCCTCTGCTGGGCTGGCCCCTGAGAAATAGATTACTGTACATTGTATATAGCTGTGTTATAAGGCTTTTAGATGTATGATCAGTCAATGCCTTTTCAAGAGAAATAAAGAAGGAGACAGAGTTCAATGGGTAAAGTGTTATCCACAAAAGCTTGAACACTAGAATTCAGATCCCCAGCACCCACAAAATGCTGTGTGGGTGTGGTAGCCAAGCTGTTCTCCCAGTACGTGAGAGGTGGAAACGACAGAGCCCTGGGGCAAGCTAGCTAGACAGTCAATCTAGTGAAGAATGGCTGAGGAAAACACAACCTATACCACTTTGGGCCTCTATACCTGCCATACACACTCAAATACACACACACACACATACACACAAACACTCACACACACACATACCCTTTCAAACACAGATCTATGGGCTCCATTTCCTGGGGTTTACTCACCAGGGATCAGACATATTCTAGAAAGCAAACAAGAAAAAAAAACATCAATTGTGCATATTGAACACATATAAACCTTTTTTCTTGACGCTATTGTTT